AAAAACTGGCTATTTTTATCTCTATATTATATTCTTTTCTTGTCTATCGAAAAAGTCATGATATCAAGAAACAGTATTAAGGATTTTTTAATCTATATATAAAAAAAAATATGATATGAATATATTTTGAATACTTTCAGATATATTTTTTTCTACTTTTTTTATTATCGAGAAGAAAGTAGCTCAAGATAAAGAAAGGAATATATTGCAAAATATTAAAGAGGGATTGACTCTTTTGTAAGTAAAAAAATGTCTCAAACAATTTTTAAAAAATTGTATAAAAAGATAAAAACAAGTAAAAATAAAAACAATAATTAAATTAATAAAATAATCATACGGTTAGATATAATTATATGCGATATGAAATTCACTGTCATTTTTTCTAAAGCGTTGAATTTATAATACAACAAATTTATTTGATTCAAAGAGTTGAAAAAATCTATTAAATTATATTTTAAAACGGCACATTTAAAATTGCTAAATAAAAAGAGAATAATTCATGATACAATTATTTTTGACATAAAATGTTTGCTTTTAAAGTCGAAAAGTTTTGATAATGGAGAGTTAATTGTTGAGAGTTTTTATATTTTGCATATTAGATATATATATAATTTTACGATAATTTAGCCTGAAATGTATGATATAAAAATACTGTCAGATAATCTTGCTGCAAACCAAATTATACTCAACGGTTTATAATCACGATACCGTGAACCTAATCGATAAATATTAGCAATTATTTAGGGCGCAAATTGCGCTTCTTGTATTCAATTAGAATAAAATTAAATGGACAGTATCGTTTATATTGAGCACAATATTTTTACTGTTAAGTAAAGAATTGATAAAGCCCTCAATATTTTTATATTCGCATTTCTGTAATGGAAATTGATAGCTCTCGCGCGGGACTTAACAATATTTACACATATTGCGTGGGTATTTACAGTAATATTCCAAACCCGTCTGACGCAATTCGCCTACGCTTCGACATTTGGCGTAAAAAAATAACTCGTCACGAAAATATTACATCCTGATGGATTGCCGTGTCCGTTCCGATCAACTCGCTGGAGATATGCGCCGTCGACGATACAATATCCTTCCGTATGGATATCGCTGCCTATCGCTGTATCACTGATTCGGTTTATCGGAAAAAAAAAACAGTCAAACGGTGTTGAGAAATGAATATGATTTGTTACTGTGTATATGGAACTTTAAACTTTAAAGTTTCTATAAGACAACGTGTAGTATGAATAAAGTATAATGAGATACAGTTGGATGTCTCTTTAATCACAACGTGCGAATATACACAATATCAGAATAATTTCAAAACATGCCGTGAGAGATGCCCTTCGGGGACACACTTTGAGAAGATAGACGTATCCTCGGAAGCCATGACTTGAGCCAGGAGGTTTCGTATCTATGAAGGAAATTATACGCCAATCGTAACGCTATTGTCATTCAAAAATTCCACCGTCTTTACTGAACGTGGCTATTGTTACGCGATAACCACCAGCAGATTGACGAACAAAGAGTAATTAACCGCCAATGTAACTGCCTATTTAGACTGAACTAGTCATCGTTGTATTCACGGGGATGAATAACAGCCGATGCGCTTTGATTTGTCGCCTGCGGCCGAGGAATTATTGACTAACAAATTTCCAACTTTGAGATCTTTTTGTCGCTCATCTCGGTCGACTTTTTTTTTTGTAAATGCGAATAACGCGAATTACTCGAATAAATATAAAATATATCTTTTATTTTTGATATATAATATATATCTATATATTTTTCTTGTTTGTTTTATTTGAAACTTACTGCAATCGTATATTCCGATTTTATGTTATTGTTGTCTTTATACGATTAAATTGTAATTTATTTTATTTGCAATTTTATTTGTGATTTTATTAGTTTTTTTCAATAAAAGTTTTATTATTTATTATTGCTTTATCTAATAATACGATATAAAGTGCATATATGTAAGTGCATTATGATCTTTTATGATGCGTCGTGGGACCGCGAAAAGTCTCGATTTACCGTTGAATTCCAGCACGAATCTACCATTTGTCATCTCGCGGCTTATGGTTGCTCATTACACGTCGGTTCGTGAGATTTTCTATAGACGATTTCGCGACGAGCTCATCATTATTAGGTTCGTCTTATCATCTCTTGCCTCCTCTCTACCCGCTTATCCTTTCTCGGCCTCTTCTCGATAAAATATCTCGACGGCGACTCATCGATCACTTTGAGTCCGTCGTGAGTTACAGAGAGACGTTTCCGACTATGTGTCGTTTCATCGTGGCGACACTTACTCGCTGACAGTGATATAAAGTACTTTTATGTAAGTATCATATAACTTTCTTGCTAGAGCACATTTTTAAATAAATCTACGATGCATCTTAAAAATATCTATATTTTAAAATGTCATTTATTTTCTCGATTAGCAGCTTTTATGAGAACGATTTCTTTCATAATGCAATTTTATTTTGAACGCGATATTTTTGTTATCGCTTATACATCAAACAATATCAGTTTATCCTGATCCTTGCAGCGAGTGTACTCATAATTAGATAAAAGATAATTAATTACATTTTGTCCTAAATATGTTTAAACATAGATATTTGATTAATTAATTTTTTTAGAGTTTATGTAATTTTTGCAGATTACGAGAAGAAGTTTAGGAAAAGCTATATCATAAGAATATGTAATCAGCCTATTCAATGGCTCTAAAGCCTAATATTTTAAATATGGATATCGTCCCGTGTCTCTTTACTTAAATCCCCAGGAGACCTGGATGACCCGATTAAAAGACCCCCAGAAGGTTGGATAGCTCCACCTCGGGTTCGCTAAGCCCGTACTCACTACTGTGAGCCCCTGAGGGAAAGTTATAGATATGGAAAAAAACAAAGTTGTTTTTATATCAAAAACCTGCGAGTCGTTTTTCATCACGTATTTTTTTTTACGATGACATCCATCTGTTGGTTTTACTACTTGAATGAAGAGATCATTTCCGTAAGAACCGACTCCGCGCATACAGAATCTCATTTTATCGTCAAAGAGTTCGTCGCGTTCGAATCATGAATAATCCTCTCATCGATTTGCCGGCATGCACGCGCGTATCCCGTGATACACGCGACGCATAAATTACACCCTCGCACGACTACTGGTCGGTCGATAACCCGGTGGTGGAACGCAATATCGTTACGAAACAAACGTCTCCCGCATTCGGGGTGCCATTTTCTTCCCCTTTTCATATAAACTCCCTCTCTCACTCTCGACTCGAGATATTCCGTGAATTGCTAAGCGCGTGAAAAAATATTCTCGCGTTCATATATTGCGAGTAAAAACGTGTACGTTCCTTCCTTAGGCGGTTTATATTTGCATGATTTAACTGCGAAGATGTAAAGAATTTACATATACATGATTTATAATAATTTTTAGATGAATTAGAAATAGAATGGTATGTGTAATGATGAGAAAAAATATATTTAAGATACTCGATAATAAATTATTCAGATCAATTGTTTCAGTCTGGAAACAATAATATTAAGATAGTGCTCTAATTAAACAGGGATGGAGAGGCTATAAAAATCATGATATAAAAGTAACGGTAAATTCATACATTGCAAATTATAACAAAAATTATAATTCTTCACATATTTATATAACGCGTCCCATATGATCGCATAAACTAATCAATGTGGATTTGCTATTATTTTCTGGTTACCAGTGCGGATAATTATTTGTCCATATATCTGCAGGGGAGCGGCAAAAAATAATGATGTTTGCAAGATGAATACCATTCCAATTAGCTATTATCGCGCAATATTCGAGTTATGCTCCATATGCTGGGAACAACGTTTGTTTCGCAGCGAAAATTTCGCCTATCACTGCTCTTATAAAGATCTGCGTTCGTAAATGCAGCTCAAAATGAAGCACATTGTTAGCTTTTCTAATTGCGTGACGTAGATTTCGCGATATAAATTATCCGTGTAATAGTAACGTGTTCGTGTGACCGAGCGGGTAAAATCCATTATACCGCTAGATAACATTCCGGCGAGATACAGTCGCGGTGAATGCCACTTTAATATTATTATACCGGTAAAATTAAATCGCGCGATTTACATCGGGTGTCTTGTAACGTGGCAGCCCGTTCGCCAACGACGTTCCTATCATTTTTCAAACGAACGTCTCCTTCGTCGCGACATAATGTCGTAAATGAAGAGTCCGCTTTGCCTCCTCTCTCCGTGATATTCGCTTTCATTCTCTCCCTGCAAAATTCTATCGCGCTAAAACGACTTTCCCTTTAAAGTTTAAAGTCTCGATTAGATCCGCAAATATTTTTGGGAATCGTTTTATAAAATCAAATAAATCGATCTTTATAATAACAAAAATCCTGTATTTTTTCGATCAGTTTATACGACAATTTTTCAGAAACGATAAAGAGAGTTCATTTCGTTTACGCTTTTTTTCCCGTTCCTATCTTTTCCTTTTCTCACTTCCCCCCTCTCTCTTTCTCATCTACAAGCATTTGCCCTCATTGCATTCTCATTTATTCTCTACTATATACCTTCTGTCATTCTAATTTCCATTTTCTCTCTCTGTCTCACACGCTTTCTCCCTCATGCTTTCCCTTTCTCTCCCATCTTTCTCTCTTTCGTTCGCTCTCT